GGAATGGCATAATTATTTTTTATGTGCTGGGATTTGTACAGGTGTTTTTATATCAATCAATATCATACAGAAAAAAATCCTAAATATATAGGGAAATTATTAGTTTTGAGCAAAACACTATTTAACAAATTACTTTTTATTTTTAACAACTTTTAGTGCAATAAATCCTACAGAAATTAATTAAATGTACTCTTTTACAACGACGTGATTGACATCGTATTTGATCATCTGCTCCCTCCAACTCACAGTTACAAAAACCTGTAGAAATACAAAAGTTAGTGTTTTTTCAGACCAGATATAAGGAAATAAGAACAAAGGAAAGGTTGCAAACAACAGAAGTGCAATTAGGCCATTTTAACTACTAACTGCCAAACAGCCCCATCTAGCCTGTTTGGCAGTTAACTGTTACATGACACATGGATCTTATTGAGCCATTTCATGAAATAAACTAGGGTATTAGCTGGGTGGCTGGTTACATATTACAACAAACCTTTACATTAAGATGTACCTCATAATCTAGGTTTTAAATTATTTCCACATACTTCCACTTCTGCCCTGCTGCTACTGTTTCACTGTTCATTCTGAAGATATCTGCAGGGTTGACTTTGTTGGAGTCTTCAAGGCTTTTGAATATGTGTATCACATCACTTCATAATCTTCTTTATTCAAGACTAGAACTGTTAATTTCCTTTAGTCTCTCAGTATAGGACCCCGAGAATGGATCTGGTTTCTCCTCTCTTGATGGACTGCAAGCTTCCATATATTTTCTATAATGAGGTGTACACAGAAATTGGACAAAGTATTCTAAATGAAGCCATCTTGAATGTTTTAACAATACCTTGGACTTGTCTGCATTAAATGTTAACTATCATATCTATCATGTGTTTGACCATTCATGAGTTTTATTTAAATTTGTTTGAATTTCATTTCCTGCTATTAAAATTTGTGTTAATCCTCCTAATTTGGTATATTCTGAAAATTTAATTAGTTTATTAACTGTATGGGAATTAGTAGTGTAAATTCTGAAAATTCTGTTTTCTATGTAATAACCAATCCTCAATCAAAACACTTGTATTTCCTTGAATGACTACTTCATGCAATTTAAGAATTAGTCTTTTTACAGTATGTAAAACGTTATCAAAAGCCTTCTGAATATCTAAATCCACCGTATCATATGCCCTACATGTGTCCATTACTGTTCACAAAACCCTAACAAGTTTGTTTTGCAACTCCAGCTTCTAAATCTATTCTAAACTCTTTCTAGGGATATTATTTTCATATAAGTGCAACTCTAGTTACCTTACATGTAACAGAAGACTTATTTGTCTGTAATTACTAGGTTCAGTTTTCTCACACTTTTTTATGGATGGAGACTGCATTGGCAATTCTCCAGTCAATGGGCATAACCCATGTCTTAAGGGAGTGTTGGGAGTGTTGTGTCAATGGCTTCTGAATAACGTTTCTCACTTTATTGAGTAAAATTGGTAAGATTTCATCAGGACCTGGGAATTTGTTAATCTTGGCTGCTTCTAGTATTTGAAACACTTCTCCCTCTTCTGTGCTAATACTTTCTATCTGCTGCTTGTGGCAAGTTGCTGACTTCTTCCTTAGTGAGTGCCCGAGCAAAGTGCTTCAAGAAGTACAGTATACTTTTAAAAGATTACCATTTTTTCTCATATTTGATATCTTTTATTTCGTCCTTGATAGTTGTTTTGCTGTTGCAGCATTGAAATCATTTTTTATTATTTATTACTACCTCTACTGTGATATTACTTTCATTTTCTCTTTTGGTCTTTCTAATAATCTTTTTTATACCTGCATTTGCAATAGATTTTACTTTTGTTGCTTTGTACAAATTTGGACTATTGTTTTTTTAATATAATTCCTTAAAGCACTTATTTTTTCTGTTATAGTTTTCCTAAAGAATGTGTTAAATTATTTGATTTACTCACTTTTAGAGTTCATTTGTTTTTTCTTCAAGTAAAATTAGTTTCAACTGTTGCCATTTTCCACTGATTTCCGTTTGTCCTATCCCATTTTATTTATCTTATACTGCGTTTAATTCCTTCAGAATGTCTTTCTGGAAATTGTAAACTTTTGTTTAAACTCAATGTCACGCCCGACATCCCTCCCTAGAGGGTGCTCCACTGCTCCCGTTATTGTCCTTGTGATTAAGCTCCCCAGGTGTACCCTCTTAGGTGTATTATTTAAAAAATAGCTCCTCCAGTCCTCGGGGCTCATCATTAGGGTAAAGATGTCGCAAGGCCCGCCTAGCACCAGAAAACCCTACGTCCGTCTCGTGAGGGCATAGACCTCATTCCCGACACCTCCCGCTTCCTGAGCCCGGGGTCTGGATGATCTCGTCCCATCACCCTTGGACCTCCATGTCTTGTCTCTCCGTGTGTTCCCCCTCCCGGGGATTTTAACCTTGTTGCGTCCCAGGATGGATTTCTCATTGATGGACTCTCGAACTGTACCCTGACCTGTCTTTGGACCCGTTTGGATTTGGATGCCGTTCTATGTCTTCCCTGTTCACTGTCTCATGGATTGTCACTATTATTTTGTGCACTATTAAACCCCTGTGTGTTTCCTTTTTACCACGCCTCCTGTTTTCTCCAGCTCTGACCGCATCGCATAGGGTCTACTACAAGATCTGACACGGATCTCAGTCCATGTACGCAACACTCAACCTAAACAATTTTAAAACTTCCAAATACATCATATTATGATCAGAGTTCCCTAATGGTTCTCTCACCTCCCTTTGTATCACTGTGTTTTGATTGTTTGAAAAGACAAGATTAAATACAACAATTTTCTGTTGTGGATACTCTAAAAAACTTGGTTAAAAGCTATAATTAACAATGAAATTAACTTTTACCAGTTTATGTTGTGAACATTGAAATCATGTGTTATATTGCACATAATTTCTTAATTTCATTATTATACCCGAATACTCTTTTTTTACATACAGTATATAGAAACATCCTCCCTTACACTGTTTTCTGTCTCTCTCGTACAGAACAGTAGTAGTACAATACTCGAGTACAGTATGTATTTGCTATGTTACATTAATCTCTGTTATTTTCAGATAGCCAGGTTTCTGTGATTCCAATAACATCATAATCATCTGGTAATTTTGTAGATTCTACCTCTAAATACAGTAACTGTATGTCTGATATACCTATAGTAGCATTTAGGTACAATATAAGAAATTATTTACTTGATTTATTTACTTATTTATTTACTATTTGTTTTGCTTTTACCTTTGGATCTCTCTTGGTCTTTCATTTCTTCTGTTTTACTGTAGTTTAAATGTAACTGAATTTTTTGGTGAATTATTATGTCTGCACCATGTCCTATTCAATGGATGCCACTTTAGGAGATGCTTCCCCACGTTACTGCTCTTAACAAGCAATTTAGCAACTGTGCCCAGCTAGCAGGTTTAACCCTAAAAGAGATGGAAAACAGATAACATTATCTCACAAAAGTATTTTTCAAAACAGAATTTTCAAGAGAAGCAGTGGATGATATCAAAAGTAATCATTTCAATATTTATTGTCAGGTATAGGCAAAAATGTTTAAACAACAGTAAATGTAGGCTTTGGTTTTTATTTCTAAACATTTAACATATAAATTCAATCTGTGTTTGTTTTCAAGGGTACATTCTTTCTGTAATGCTATTCCATATCAGAATTTACTTTTGAGATGTAATCAGGATAGATAACCAGCTCCAAAAATAAAAATATATTTGGGAAGACCTTGCACACATCAGAAACAGTGTAAATTCAGCTTTAAGCCTGCCAATCAAATCTATATAAATTGGGGTATGAAAATAGCCAGTGCCTATTCTGTGGAAGTGCATTTACATACTATATGACACTGTTCTGAATGAAGGGTTGTGGGATTATTGTACAACCCACTGCATTACAAATAATTAACATTATACTCAAAAGGTTAGTGTTCTGTATAAATCCACTAATATGTTTATCCCCTAAGAAGAAAAGAAGATCTTTCAGTCAACAAGGGTTTATAACAAGAAGCAAAGTTTGAAAAGATTTATGAAACAAAATGATGTGTTGTATTTAAACATATTGCTTTATGTTTTAACCTACTTATCCATTCTTGTATACATCATGAATGTGCAACAGTGATGAGGTGCTTTATTTTAAGGTATGGGTGCTTGTGATACAGTCTTCGTCTATTTACATACATAAACCATGCTCCTAAAAGCAGCTGACTGTTGCAGGAAAAATGTAAACAGCATTTATGCAAAAACACAACATGCAACTTAGAATATATGCCTTATACTTTATACAGCGTTATTCTTTTTTTTAAGTGGCATTTGTGTTTCAGTCAGCATACAAGTTGGGGCATGATGTTAAATGTCCTTAGTCTTTTCAATGACCACGTGTGTGAACAGAATCAACAGTACCTCTTGTAAAAATGTTGTAAATCTACTTTCATTTAATCACTTTAGCTGTAGCCTTTAAATTACATAATTTAATTGTCCCATCATAATAATATAGTTACATTATTACAGAAGACAAATTATTCATCAAGGGATAAATGTGTCAGAGAAGGATTTATGTATTTGTCAATGAGAAACAACTTTAAAAGCCTTTAATAATGCATCTAAAAACCTTTCACACAGTAAAGCTTTATAAGATGATACTGAAATGGTCACAATTAGCTTGCTAGAATAATGCAATTTGTATAAGAACCAATGGTATACTGTATGCAGTATATACACAATATAATAAGTGAAAAGTAGTTGACTTGAAAAATGAAACCTTACACATTTTAAAAGTACTGATAAGCAAAGCTGTTACTCTGCTTGTTCAGCTTCTGTGTGACAGTTTCATTGTGAGAAACTTTGCATAACATGATAAGAATAAGATGGTTAAAAGATTGGCAAACCCATGAGGGAATTTTAGAGCAGGGGGTGTTGTATATAAAAGGCAGTGCTTGACAAAGGCAGTTCAGTACAGGTGAGACAGCCCTCTTCTGGATCACTTTGCTTAGCACCTGACAGCTGTTACATGTTTATATAACTGCTATTGTGCTATTTTAATAGTACTTGTGACTCCACACCTGATTCTACCTCTTGTGCCTGCTTAAGGTATTTATTTTCAATTAGCAAAAATCTTGCTTTCAGTGTTATGTTAGTTTTTAACAAAATTATTTTTAAGTTTATATGGAGAATGTGAAGGTCTCTATATATGTAACTATATAAATAGAACTGTAGGTAAAATAATGGCTAGCAATTCAATAATGGCTAGTTTATTCAAAAGAGACTGGATACTTATAGATTTTATTGCCTTTGTGTCTGATTTTTTTTACAGATCATCATCTAATATGTTGGCAACACTTGAAACAGTGAGTCATTTTTTATTATTTTTCTGTAAAATGTTAAACTTTAGTGGATAGTGACATACTGTATATACTACTGCCTATGACAAAGTAACTATGGATTGTACTGTATAGTAAAGTTAGTTCATGCAGTTGCCAAAATGATAATCAATGGTAAGCCTTTTCTAAATTTACTACGATATGAAAAACCCTGGAAAGGTTCACTGTTATCTAAGCACATACTTGACTTTGTTCTCTTGACACCTGTTTGTACTCTAACGTTAAAAAAAGGTATTTCCTGTAGAATTGTCTTTCCAATTCCATGACATTTCGAGGTGGATTTTGTACATTTTCAGATCCGTTTCCTGCAAGACTGCGGTTCCCGTGACTGGAGCTTATACCCTGCCGAGGTGGATCTGGATGTAATTGAAGAATATCTAAATGAACACTCAGCAGAGGTTGAACAAAACACAGGGAAAATGTTTAAGAATGAGGAAGAAACAAGTATTATAGGTAAGGGAATTTCCTGAATGGCATGATTCCAATCATGTGCGTACAATCAAAACACTTTTGACTTTTGTTTCTGCATTTACTTTACTGGATTTGTTGATGTCTATGTTAAGCCTGCTAAACTTTTTTATTAGTTTCATTTAAGATTCAATGTTTCCCAGCGTGTTACATATTAACTCATTAAGGAGATTTTAACAGCTTTACAGTCTATTTCTGATAAATTAATACATCTGTCATTATCCAAATATAAAATACAGTTTATGTTCTCTGTTTCTTCTTTTTTCCAATAAGAAATTAATTCAGTAAATTCAGAGGTTACAAAAGAATTTGTCAGTGATTTCTACAGTACCCTTTCAGATTTCTGGAAACCTCTTGTACTACAAGAAAATTCTACCACAATTAAGATTGCTACTACTGTTAACTTATTGTGTGTGAGGCATCTGATCCCTTTTTGCTTTAGGTCAGGCACATATTGATCAAATGTTGGCTTCTATTGATTTAGTGTCTATTATGTAGAAATCTAAGATAAATTATAGAAATATGTAACTTGACATATTTTTACATATTTTTGGCTAGGCAAAGGTGGATATTATTTCTTCCAAATGTTCTTTACACACATGCGGTGTGCATTGTACTACAGTTTTTTGAGGATGGTAGTTCAAACAAGACCAGGTGAAGTGTCCAGGTCTGTTAAATTTAGGATTCATGGGGAGACTTTAGAGAATATTGAGCATTTCCTGTACCCTTGGAGTCATTGTACACCGTTGGTTGACATTAGTGAAGGAATCCAATGTCACCTGCAAGTGCAAGATCCAAATACAAATAAATGGTCTAATCAAGTAGCTGATAATCTCCAGACTATCCTCTAATGTACTGTTTTGTGTGACATCTCAATGGGCTGGAGAAGTGCCACTATTGCTGCTTGTGAGAATACAGCTAAATAGAACTCCATGGACTGATGAGAACCCAGGACCTTTAATTTGATTCAGAAACACAAACCAATAATGCAACAGAGCTTGTCTCAGACCATTCCAATCAGCAGTGTCTATACTCACAAACAAAACACTCTCAAGAACATAAGAACATAGCCAATCAGTATAGAACTTTTCTTTAAACCTGGAATGTTATCTGGTTACTCGTATCAAAGTGAATCCAGAGCAGCATCATCCATCCACCCATTTTCTAACTGCTCTATTTGCAGGCAAGCAGCATTAATATCTTTATATGTGAATTATACACAGTATTCAAAATCAGATCATACTTACTAAATACATTGTTCAATGTTAAAATAACATCCCTTTGCTTGACCTCTATGCTTTTAACCATTAATTACTTTATTTTAGCATATTAATTAGTTAATTATTTTATTAGTTATTAGTAAATTTAACATTAATTATCATTACTTGCTTTTTTATAGCCTCCCATCTGTCTTTGGAAAATGAAAATGATGTGCCTAGATAAACACCTAAATTTTAGTTGCTTCTTCAAGCTTGGAGTTTCACATTTTATATGTGTAGTTTATCTTTTTGCTACCTGTGTATATCACCTGCATTTGTCAAAATTAAATGTTTATTCATTCAATTAAATCTCCCAGGTATTCAATCATTGTATTTTTAAAAATTATTTCATACAGAGTATTATTTAATTGACCTAGTTAATCATCTGTGAAATCTAGATCAGTAATATAAATTGGTATGATTAGGTGTTTTTAATCTAGAATCCTGATGTATGATATTAATTATGTCACCCCACTTTAAAAAAAAAAACATTTAAATCTTGTCTACATCCTAGGTTTCATGTCTATTTCCTAATTTTTAATCCAGGTGCAAGCATTAGTTTACTTTGAATGTCTAGCACTTCCAAGATAATTAACCATCTATGAAGACATTAATTGACAGCTTTTTTATCATCTAAATATTCCATATTTGATGATGTTTGAATCCACAACTACAGTTGAATGAACAAGAACATCTGCATTGCATTTTCTATAGAATATTGAACAATTTAGAAAACCTGTGATTCAAGGAAATATCTTTTAACTGCTGCCATTCATTTTGTACTGATTCTATTTCTACCCTGTTCCGTTTTACCTCAGTTCTGGTATTTGTTCTAAAATTATAAACCTTTGCTTTTTGACTCAACCTCTATACATTCAAATTATGCAATGTCACATTTCCCCAATCTCTTAGCTTTTTTCCTCATGCTCGCTTGATTGATTAAAAAAACAAAATCAATGCAACCATGATAGCTTCTGACAGGTTATCTATCAGACTGAGGAAGAAAGTAGCCATGTAAGATAATCAACACAAGGGATGTCAAATTGAAAATACATGTATCATAAAAACATCTTGTCAAGTACTTAAAGACAAAAAAGGACACATTAAAACCTTTAACAACAGAATGTAAATTAGGATCACTTCAGGTTTAAGTATTCTGTACCTTTGTGATATTTATAGTTTTGTTTTGTTGCTCAATAGTTATTCCTAGTTAAGAATGGAATCTGAGAAAAACAGTGAGCAGTGAGTGCCAAATGCAGTTGAGACCCCTGAAGTGAGAAATGTCTTTGATGTTTTTTTTTTCTAGAAAACAGTTGGTCTGGAAGGTTTCCTTACCAGTGGCACCACTACAACATAGCACCAAAAAATGATTCAGAATATTGCCCGCAGCTCCAGCCTCTGTGGTTTGGATCTTCCAACAGAGAATGGGTAAATTTACCATGTATATTTTAACTATGCAGTTTCCAACTTAGACACATAAGGTAATAATGGTAGTAATGTATATTGCTATATGAAGTAGAAAACCAATCACACATGTTGGGCAATTGTGGATGCATCATGAACATGAATACCAACAGGTCATGAAAGAATTCTGAAGTTCTCTTGAATGATATTGACTCATATCTTTTTATAAGAAAAGGTTACAACAGAAGGAGGCCACGCGGATTATCTTGCTCAGTTTCAGATCAGATTTAATGATAAAAATCCATTAAACCATTTCTTAATGGGTATCAAGGACTGACCAACACTTGACACTCATGAGGATTGAAGTATAATACGTTAGGACTTCTTCCTTTGCCATCAGTAAAAAGAGCTTGTCAAATAATGCACTGAAATTCCCTAATACAGACATTTGCCTAGCTAAAACATTAAATTAAATTGCAATATTTCAGTTTTTCATGTAAAGACATTCAGTCATTTCTTTACCTTTTCTTTAAGAGCTCTTGGATCTGTCCAAAGTCCCCTAACAAGATCCTGCATTTCAGGTGCACTACCAGTGTCTTTGTGATACCAATCCAAGCAGTGACTCAGACTCACAATCCACAGGCTCAGTTTCCTATGACTTTCCCCCTTCACCAACTGCGGAGAGAAGAACAAAGAAGAACTCCAGTTTGCCTCTGACATCAACCACAGGTAGAATACTGCCCTTTAGAGGTTACATATATTGAATACAGACATGGAGCAATGAGAGAAATATCTAATTTGGTACTTCTTCCAAGTCGGTATGCTTCATTAAATTGCCATTATTTTTAAGATGTCAAGTCAAAGTGTTCCTATATGTACATGCACTAGTTACCTGTTTAGTTACTGATTATTTATTGAGATTTGATGACTAATTCCACATTGTTTCTGGGTTTTCATATTTTCATCAGAATTTACAAAGTGAACAATTCCATTGATTCTTTAGTTTTATTCTGTTATATGCAAGTCTAAAATTTTAAAAAATTTAAAAATTTTTAAAAAGTAATTGATTGTCAGGGCACAGTTATTTAGTTAACCCAATCTTTCCTTTTGCCTTTTTGCAGGTAAAAAGAAAGAGCGTCTTTTCCAGTTTTTGTATGAAATGCTGCAGAACCCTGCAATGCGGAGCTGTATATGGTGGGTACAGTCTGGTAGTGGGACCTTTCAGTTCTCTTCCCAGAACAAAGAGAAACTGGCAGAGATGTGGGGCCGAAGAAAAGGGAATCGCAAAACCATGACCTACCAGAAGATGGCTCGTGCTTTGAGGAATTATTCTCGCACGGGGGAGATTTGTAAGGTTAAGAGGAAGCTCACCTATCAGTTCAACGAAGGGGTCTTGAAAGGGTTACAGAGCAACAACAAGAGAACTGAGGAATGTTAGTGTTGAACCATTGGATGATAATCAACACTGGAACCCAGACACATAAATACTAAGTATTTGCACAATGTTGATTTGCAATGTAAAATGCTTTTGTTTGTTTAATTTGAAAATGTGCTTTGAAAATCAATCGCAATTCAGTTCAAATTATGATAATTTGTTGTATGATATATTTTGTGTATTGCATAGAAAATTTAGTTCGATACTGCAGTTTAATATTTAAATGCATCTTAATGTTAACAATCTTAACAATCAGAAAAAAAGGAAGACAAAAACACAGGAAAGCTGATGGGCTTTAAACTGTTGTGTAAATCTGAGGATTATAAAAACTTTCAAAAATCTACTTTATAAGTAGAGGATAAGTTCAAGTTAGTACAGAAATGTACAGGATTTTGTATTTATAAAGATCTTTGTAATGTAATCATTTAATAGAAACGTAGATTTTGGTCTTTAAATCTTTTGTTGGTAGCTGTTTTTTAAGTGATATTTCTATTTTTTGTTCACGTTTTGTATTGAAATAAAAGAAAATTTCACATATTGTATTACATTTAATACATATTTACATACTGTATGTATTATTAATATCAGAAACTAAATTGTAGCATGCCAACATCTTGTGATTTGTAGAAAGTAGCAAATAATTATATTTTAATTTTCTTATGAAATAACATTTTGACCCACTTAAAATATTTGTTTGAAAGTAAATAAAAACTGTAAAGATTCCTGTGAAGTATTTAAAAAATACTGACAAGGCAAGTCAACAGGAACCATAATCATAACATGACTATAAGTTTAACAGGCAGTAGACTGTCAAGAAGCAGAATTTGTTTTTCATTCTGAGCAGTGTTAGCTTAACAGTAGCTTGGAAATTTAACATAGTAAGCACCTCCTTACAATCGTATGGTGTTTTTATCCCAAAGAATCCCAGAGCACAAACATGAGAGGGGGGACACTTAATCTAGACCTTTTAATGACCCTCAAGTCCTTGAGAAATTAAATCAGTTTGAGTAAGAAAAATTGCTTTATTTGTTGAATTAAGGGTAAACATCTGGGAGAACATATTGTGCAAGCCCAGGGTAGAAATAAGCTAGGATACCAGGGTTAACATCCATTGGATCTTCAGCATTACCATGCCAAGTGGGGCAATAGATTTTCAATAAAAACAAGACATTCAATATAAATCACTATAGTGACTCTGCTGTAAATAATTTCCAAATAGGTGATTTCTAAAAGTAATTGCCATTTCAAGAACAAATTCCATTTAGCTCTTTATAAATATATCTATATTTCAAGAGTGCTCTTTCACTTCAAAGTACATTAGATTTGCTAAAAATATAAAAATAAATGCAATTTTAAAAAAGTAATGTACCATGGAAATATTTCCAAAATGTACTCATCAAGTCAATTTCATTATTGTGGTCAAATGTATTGGTTTTGTCATATGTATATTAGCACAATTAACACAGCATATAAAAATAAATTATTGTTTATAATTGAAGGTATATTTAGTATACGATTTGCTGTTAACTCAGGGACCAAAGTTTAATATTTGTTTATAGCAGTGTGTCGTAATCATTTATAATGAAGTGTCTGATGTCCTAATGCAATACCACAAGGGGGCATCTTGGTTCAACAGAATGGAACATAAAAAGAGGCGACCAACAAGGCAGTAGTGTTATTTCCTGTTGATTTCAATCTCATATTTCCGAATGTGCGGTAAGATGAGCTTGATTTAAATAGCAAACTTATATTGGTATATTAAGATTTAGGGCATACAAAAACAAATGACAAAAATAATTAAAAAATGAGGAAATGTATATGATTTTTAGAGAAAAATACTTTCCCTCACTGAGACGATCCTTAGGATGAAGAAGAAAAAGATAGATGAATGGATGAGTACTTGCCACACTACGTGTAACACAGACAAGTACATTTTACCCTGTTTACTACTGATACATAGCATTTAAGAAACGTTTACAGTTTTAGTAGCTCAAAATGTTTATATAACATCATTATGTACTATGTATGATAATATAGAGAGTTGAATATAATTGAAAAAATTATCATAAGTATTATTCAGAAATAATAAGTATTTATTTCTATTATTTAGTAATTCTGAATTCTGAGTCTGCAGTATTTTAAAATCATTCTCATGTGCAAGCTTTACCAGGCAATATATAGGAAACATTTTATAAACTGACCTATAAAATGGTCAATGTTACTAATCAAGTAGGAAACCTAAGAGCTGGTTCTATGAGTAACAATATCTTTGTTTAAAACTACTGAGTAGACTTATGCTTTTCAAGGTTTATGAACTTATATTTATAAGTATATATACTGTATAAAATAATATATATTTTTGCTTTCATAGATATGAAAAGGTTCTAACAAAATATTCATACAGTACATCTAAAAATTTGAAAAATATCCACAGAATTAGTAAATGTTTAAGTCTACAAAGCTTACAGTTTGCCTAGTAATTACATAGGAACAAGTAAAGTTTTATTCCATGCTGAAAACAGAAGATAAAAGCACAACACTTTGTCTGTGGAGCCTTCTTCAGCTTCTTTACACACATCTCTTTTCAACATGGAATAAACCTTTACTTGTTCCTTTGCAGCCTACACATGCTGACACAGCTACCTACTTGAACTACTTCAAGTAATTGCATTGTTACTGAAAATGAAAGATGTGTCCTTATGATTTAATAAACATTTTATTAATATGTTATGTGAAAGCTGTATAAATCAAACAATCAACAGGGATGTTTTACACTGAGGCTCCTCCCATGTGGTGACATTGCTTATACAGTATATCTGATTATGCATATGTGTGCAATGTATTTGTTGTAGACGTGGAACAGAGAAAAATCAACACCAGCAAAGCTAAAATTATACTAATGAATGAAAGGTATTTCTGACAGAATGATTCAGTCATCTGTGACAGCAAATCCAGCTTGTGGACTGCGCTTCTCTCAATTTGGATATACTTAACCAACTAATCTTTCATTTAAAAATGGCAAATATGCTTCTCAGGAAGAAATTATTCTTCCATCAAATGACTTGAAAATTATACTGCAACAGATTAAAAAAGGTCACCAAGGCTATCAAGATTCCACTTGCAATGGCTGACTACATGGATTTAATTTATATGTCTTTTGAAATTTGGATTGCATTTACATGCTGTTTGGGCAATGCATTAGTCATCTGGGCAGTAAAACTCAATCACTCACTCAGAGAGCCCACGTTCTGCTTCATTGTCTCCTTGGCAGTAGCAGACTTCTTGGTTGGAGCTGTGGCTATTCCATCAGCCATCTTTGTGAATTCTGAAGTGGAGACCTCTTTCCATGGTTGTCTCTTCATCTGCTGCATTGTGATGATACTGACTGAAAGTTCCATTCTTTCTCTTTTGGCCATTGCAGTAGACAGATATCTGCACATTAAGATGCCCTTCAGGTAAGATATATGTCATTTCTGTTTAACTACAGGTAAACAGATTTATGATATAATGTAAATGTATATAACAAAAATTACATCAGAAAGATTATATACCATTTTTGGAAACAAATCAATAAATTCCATATTGTTTGGCCATTATTCTGAGCTGAACCATTGAGGTGTCTCCTGGCATCTACTACTAAAATACAGTGCATAAAAAAATCATAGGGTGGGAAACAAAGGAAATGTAATATTTCAGACACCAAGATAGAAACAAGATCAAGATGGCTTTGTCATATTTCCAGCCATTGATTTTTTTAGGTTTTATATTGTGCTGTTTTTCTGGAGATACAGAAGGATTGCTGCACAGAAACAGTCTTGGTTAGGGGTTGCAGTGTGCTGGCTGATATCAGGAATCCTGGGGCTTGTCCCTATATTTGGATGGCATAATAAAGGAAGTATGAATTCAACAGGAAACTCTGCCATAAATGCGCGGGCGATACCGCATTATTTTCCAGTACGCTGTATGCAGTCTACCGCGAGTTACCCGTAAATACCGCTAGTTACCGTAAATTCTCCTATAATACCGCAAGCAAAATAATAGTA